GTTAATTAAAAATAAAAATTATTGCCCGGCTGGTGTGGCTCAGTGATTGAGCATCGACCTACGATCCAGGAGATTGCGGTTCAATTCCTGGTCAGGGCACATGCCCGGGTTGAGGGCTCCATCCTCAGTAGGGGGTGTGCAGGAGGCAGCCGATCAATGACTCTCTCATCACTGATGTTTTTCTCTCTCTCTCCCTTTCCCTTCCTCTCTCTGAAATCAATAAAAACATATAAAAAAATTTAATGAAAAATTATTAAACATTAAATTACTATGAAATATTAAAAATTTTAAATAATTCAGAAATTAAAACTCTTTATTTGTAAGGAGCCTTAAATATTGAAAGCCACCAACCTCTGGAGGTCAGCTCTGTCATCTTATATCCTGTGAATTCCCTGCCAAAATGTGGACACGAGGAATACAGAGGAAGACCTGCCTCACTGAGGCCCAGATGTGGAGGGAGCAGGGGGGAGAGAGCTTTAACACCGTCCAGCTGTGGCCCGTGGCACGTGACCGCGTGATGGATGCTGCTGAGGACAGCACCCAGGGTGCACCCCTGCAGTTCCCGGGCAGGAGGCAGCCACTAACACATGGGCCTTGCTCGAGCACAGAGAAAACATCGAATCTCCATGACGTTTGCTAGCAGCATCTTTCATTAATCACCCCAGGCTGTCAAGCTGCAGAGTGTTAACACAGAGCCTCTTCAGAGAGTGTCAGCTGCACTCCAGCCAGATGCACCTGTGGAGCCCAGGCTGCCTCCGACCCCGCCCTGTCCTTCCCAGGCCTGGGTGCAGGTTCGGCCTCTCCTTCCCCTCCCACCTCCCGGGCTCAGCTGGGATAACACCGTCCTCCCGGCTTTGCTGACACATGGGCCTTGTGTCATTAGCTGCCTCTGCTAATTCTCTGGCTTGCACTGACGCACAGAGAGCCCTGGGGTGACAGTCCCCGAGGACTGACCTGTGGATGAGCGCCGTCGCTGGGGACCCCACCTCCTGCCACGCGGGCGGCAGAGTGGATCAGATAAGCCACTTTCCATCAGCCCTGACAATCGGAGTCTCTGGGACTCGGAGCTTGCTGCCTAAGTAACTGCTTGCTCTAGGCTTGTAAATAATAAGGGATTTAGGGTCGGACAAATCCCGCTCTGCCTGGAGCTCACTGTCCCACTTTAGGGAAGTCACTGCATTCTTTTAGCTTTAGCTCAGCTCCTTCTGCAGTGTGGGGTCCCCCCTGGAGAAGCCCAGCCTCTCCTCCTGTGGACAGCTCACTCCCCTCGAAGCCACTCCGTTTAGGGGTCAAAAGACCCCCCTTCTGCCTCCAAGAGCCTAAAACTGGGAAGAGGGAATGGAGCCGCATTTTCTCCCAGGTGCTTTCTAGCATAATGGTCTTTGATTCTAAACACCAGGTGAGGCCAAGATAAGAAACCAGACGGAATCCTGATTAAAGGCTGCGGTTCTCTAGGGCCTGAGAAGACCTGGGCATGGCTCACACCAGGCTCCCGCCCCCTGTCCCCAGCCCCCCACATTAGGCTCACTGCACACTCACAACCTCATCATTTCTGTTTCACATGCATGAGTTGCAGGTCTAGGGGCCTTCTGAGGCCTTAATCAAAGACCAGGATGTCCCGGACAGGCCATGTGTTGAAAGCGTCAGAGAGCGCTCCCAGGCCCCGGGTGAATGACCGGCTCCTCGCTGGCCGGTTTGCTGTTCACTTCTGCAGAATCTCAGGCGCCTTGGAAGGGGGCCAAGAGCGGACCACAAGGGCCCCAGCCCCGTGGCTGCGGGGTTCCCAGGAAGCCAGACTCCCCACTGCCTGCAGGCCGGGGAGGGGAGGGGGCGAGATTCGGGGCTGGCGTCAAATCCCCCACTCTCCCCGGGAAGGGGCAGATCGTGGGGCCTCCGAATCCCCTGACCCCTTGTCTGTGACCTTGGGACAGTCCTGGCTACCCGGCAGGTCGTTCTGAGTATAAATGGTGAATGGAGGGCAACCGCGTGAGCTGGAGGTTGGACTTGGGCTGAGGTCTCCTGGTTACCAACACCTCCCGGCTTCGCTGTTCTGTGCCCAGTGTCCCCGCCGCCAACCAGGCCTCATAAATATTTACACCGCGTGCGTTGCGATGCTCAGTTAATTGCTCCTGTGACGCACTCTGGGATCCTCGGAGGACAGGAGGATGCCAGGGCCTGTTGTTAAAGGCACAAAGGCGCTCACAGAAACCGAGTCCTTCCAGCTTCCCAGCCCCCGAGTCGGGGAAAAGTGCGGCCAAAGCACACTGTCCAAGGCAGGGGTGGCGGCCCCGCAAAGAGCTCGCTGGAAAACGGCAAAGACGCGCCCATGTGACTTGTCACAGAGGAAGTGCAAATGGCTCAAAACCGTTTCAAAGTTATAATGGTAATAATAATAATGATAATGGTAATGATACTAATTCAGCCTCACTGGTCATCAAAGAAGTGAGACAGGAACGAAGTGCCACGTGCGCGAGGCTGTTTTAAAGACGGGTTTCACGGGGTGAGGTGTGGGAGGCCCCTTCCCACCTGTGGACTAGGGTAGGACCCGCGCGGCCCCGTAGAAGGCACCTGGCGGGTGATGCGAACGAGGGGTTAGCAGGCCCACAGCGCCGTCCCCTTCGTTGCACTTGACAGGGTGTCTCCGTGGAAATACTCAGCAATGAGGTTAAACACGCAGGCGCGGACGCACGTGGCAACCATGTTCACAATAGTGAAAACTAGCCAGACCCTAGCTGCCCCTCCAGATACAACAGTTAAAGATACACGTGTTTGTAACACCGGGCCCCTGCACGTCCTGGTGTGTGCTCACACGTCGGCATATTTGAGGTGTGTGCCACCCTCGTATGCGCGGGCACCTGTGAAAATTCGCCCAATCACTACCCATGCTGCCGATTGCTTTCCTCCACGTGCGTTTTCTACTTTCTGTGTTCTCTGTCATGAGCTGTTCCTTTAGGTCTAGAGCAAGGCAGATATTGAGAAATCGCTCCTTGATAACCGGCCCCCTCTCGGGAAGGTCTGTGAACCTGCAGTTTACTGACACTCACCCTGCTTCTCTGTTCTGCCCTAGGTCCTGGCCTCAAGTCAGAAGTGCCCCAGGTGAGTCAGGGGCCCGTGGTCCCCGAGGCGGTGGGAATGTCAGCACCAGCCTGTCCAACTCTTCCTGTCTTCCTTGCCTTTCTGTCTGGTAAAAACCACTGGCCTGTTCGATGGCTCATGTATGGCCTTTCCCTGGGCCTGCTCCCAGGGGGCAGCCTGGCTGTGACTTCCACAGCGCTGGGCCCTGGCCGAGCCGGCGGGAGCCCTGTCTCTCCACCTGGCAGCTGTGTAGCCTAGGGAGGGGCACAGATCCCCCCAGGCCTGAGTTCCTTGTCTATAGAGTGGGTAGGAGTCTAAGTGCCAGTATTGCAGCTACTCGTGAGTGTTCGCTCAACTGGACTCGGTGTGATGGGTTCTCCCCAGAATACGTGTCAGGTGGGTGAATGGGTCAGAAACCACACTTTATGCTCCTCTGGTGTCTTCTTAGAGCCTTGCTCCTGGTACTTGGCACCTACAGGAGCCCCTGCAAGTGTGACTAAGAGGATGTACTGTTCCCCTTGGAGCATTACAATTTCAAGGAGCCCGGCTGGAGTGGCTCAACTAGTTGAGCGTTGTCCTGTCCACCAAAAGGCTGCAGTTCGATTCCCAGGTACATACCTGGGTTGCAGGTTCCATCTCTGGTCGGGGCTTGTATGTAAGGCAACCGATCGATGTTTCCCTCTCACATCGATGTCTCTCTCTCTCTCTTTCTCTCTCTCTCTTCCTCTCTCTAAGCGTGTCCTTAGGTGAGGATTTTTAAATAATGAAACATGTGTGTATATAATTTCAAGGAAAGTCCCATAGAACTTCCCTAGAAAGCTGGTGGCCAGAAATGATGACTGGCATGAGACAGGAAAAAAGAGAAACCGACACGAGGAAGTATGTGAAGCCGAGATGGGATGACAGGGAGTGATGCAATCAGGGACTGAATTCGAAAGGCTGCTTATGGTGCACATTGAGGCATTTTACCGGCACTCAGCATGTCCCACGTAGCAATGGGGAGAACAGGGGGAAGTAAAATAAAAATTGCAAGTGTGAATTTACATGAAAAACCGGCACCCAGCTCTGAGCCCTCCCACAGAACATGCTCTTATCAAGCTTCCCAGCCAGGGCCTAACAGGGGTTACATTTTCTCAGGTCAATGCTTCCAAATTGTACTGGAGTTTTGGTCTCAAATATGCCCCATCCCACCATCTACTCGGAGTCCTGGGGCGGGGGGAGCTGTAGAAAATGCTAAAGGGGGTGGCTCCTGCTGTGGCTGCTGAATTATAAACGCGGGGCCTGCACGCCTCTCCCTTTGACCTTGCTGTTCACCTGCACTAGGTAGACAGGAACTGGCAGGTGGCTATTCCATCTCATCAACAACCTTCTAGAGACACGAACAGGGAAAAGAAAACCAATCTAAACCCCCAAAATGTCCACTAAAATACAGCTGCTCACCCTGCCCACATGCACTGGAGTCCATGCCCTGCCCAAGGCACTCCGCCCCGCCCCGCATGCTTGCCAAGCACCGCAGGTGTCTACTCAACTCTAGCAGGACTCATACAGCTAGGATGCACATACGACTGACATGAGAGACTGCTCGTCACGGGGATATTTATGACATTCCCAGGTTCTTTTAAATTGTCTGTGATTTTTTTTGCCATGGGATTACTTGAAAATATGGTGGGGCATCGATATGAGAGAATACTGTGTTTTCATTCTTTTTTGCTTACCTATATCTTAATTCTTCTACTGAAAGCGATCTATCTAGCATATATGTTTACATACTAAAAACCATCTATGCAAATATGAAGAATGCTCCAGGCCCGGAGCAGACAGACACGTACTCAGACTTGACGACCTGTCGATGCGGATCCCTCTGTGAGGCTGACATACAGAGGACAGTGCCACGTGTCTCCATAAAGCCAACTCAGGGGCTTCCTCCTCCGGCTGAATAAAGAATGAAATCGGAGAAGATGCCCTACTTAGAAACTGGGCCGTTCTGTCTTCAGTCGCCAAACACAATAAAAACGCTGATGACGTGGACTCACACAGAGGAGAGGCTCCGTTTTGTCCAGAAACACTTGTTTTGTTTTGCTTTTGGTTTTCTGAAGAAAGCGGTCTTGAAGGTTGGGTTTTTTTTTCCCACTTTTAAAAGAAAAATGAGTAGGTTTTGGAACTAGGGGAAGAAAGGGCAGGTCGGGAATATGTGAGCAGCTGGTGCCTCCTGCTGGTCCTTCCTGGATATCGCAGGCCCTGCTTTAATGGGCAGAGGCCCGTTCCCAGCAGAAACCGGTGGGCAAACAAACTGAGAAGCTGACGGTTGGAATCCTGGGCAAAGGTGTTTCCCCAGTTCTGGTGAGCACAGGAAAAGATTGCAAATCGTGCAAGATTGCCCAACCCAAGGATTAAGAATGGTATTCAAAATTCAGTGTGTATCCGAATCACAACCGTTAAAAACACATGTTCTCACCCCGCCCTGGCTCCTGCTTCGGCAGGCTTATTCCAAGATCAGGAATCTCTCATTTTAACAAGATCATTCCAATTCAGGTGGTTCTAGGGTGGTCTTTTAAGAACCACTGCTTGAAGCAAAAAGAAAGTGTCAAGGCTGTCCCCACCAAGTAGCTGCGGTCAGTTCTCCAGGCAACAACTGTCTCGGAAAATCTCACTTGAATTTCTGGAGATCTCCCATGAACAAGAATGACAAGCAGCTGCCTTACCTCTCGCCATTCATGCATTTATCTGTCATCCATCCATTCATTCAAGCAGTCGGTAGTAGTTCTTCCTGTGACAGATACTATAACCAGCTTTGGGTACAGGTGTATGTGGGGGTTTTTGTTGTTGTTGTTTTCAAATATATAGATTTCAGAGAGAGGAAGGGAGAGAGATATAGAAACATCAGTGATGAGAGATTCATCACTGATTGGCTGCCTCCTGCACTCCCCCGACTGGGGATCAAGCCCACAACCCGGGCATGTGCCCTGACCTAGAATCAAACCACAGTCTCCTGGATCCTAGGTCGATGCTCAACCGCTGAGCCGCGCCTGGCCGGGCTAGGTGTGTGTGTTTTTAAAATGAAGATAAAAGGTCCCGAGGACTCGGCAAGTCTGAGATTCTAAGACCACTCTTTCCAGGCAAGGGGATTAAGAACTAGAGAAGGGAATTGAATTCTCAAGGGCCACCCAATGAGAACATTAATACTGTTCCCCCAACTCACCAATAAATGTCTCCCATCTAGCTATTTCTGTGAGTTTGGACTGTTAGTGCTTGAAATTCACAACTCACAATCTTCAGATCAGGAGACTGTGGTTCAGTGAATGAAAGTGAAATACCAAAAAGAGCTAAATGACTAAGCTGGTAGAGATGGATGACAGATAGATAGGTGATAGATACATAGACAGATGATAGATAGATAGATGATAGATAGATAGATGATAGATAGATAGATAGATGATAGATAGATAGATAGATAGATAGATAGATAGATAGATAGATGATAGATAGATAGATAGATAGAGAGATAGATAGATAATAGATAGATAGATAGATGATAGATAGATATAGATGTAGATATAGATGATAGAGATAGATAGATATAGATATAGATGTAGATATAGATGATAGAGATAGATAGATATAGATATAGATGATAGAGAGATAGAGAGATGATAGATAGATAGATGATGATAGATAGATAGATAGATAGATAGATAGATAGATAGATAGATGATTGATAGATGACAGACAGATGGAAGACACAAACAGATATGTAGATGCACGTGTATCATAACAGGCATATGGAACAGACACACGGATGTGTATAACCCGCAGCATCTCTACTTCTGTCTCCTCTCCCCCCTTCCTTCGCTTCCCTGCTCTCATTTCTCTCTTCCCGAGTACAAGTCATGCTGCCAGGGCTCATGGACACTGTAACATTTTACTCAGAGACAGCGAAGATGAACATAAAGGAGTTCATTCCTGCCTCTACCTATAGCCATAGGCTGATGGCCTAGGGCTTGGGACCTGCCAGGGTACAGGGTGTGAACCATCCCAGTTCTCATCATGGTGAGAGGAGATCAGGTTGATGCCTCTGTCCCCAAATACCTTTGATTCCTAAAAGGTAAAAAGCGAGAAAGTCCGCACAGTGTGACTTGAAAGAACCAAGTCACATGAAAGAACCAAGGCTGTGAGTCCAGAGTCCAGAATTTGAATGCTGGTCCTCTCGTGACATCAGCAAGTTCTAGGACCTGGGATGGAGAGGAAATGGAAAGCAGCTAACATCTATCAAGTCAGGTCCCTAGCGTGGGCCAGGCGTTTGACACCCTGGTATCATTTAGCTGCCGGGAGGTGATTTTACCAAGCTCACTGCATAGATCAGGTAAACAGAGGAGAAGCCAAATCCATCACAGCACACGTGGTGCTGTGCACCAAACATCTGGCCTCCATTCTGTTCATCTTTAAAATGAGAAGATCGCCCTGGCCAGTGTGGCCCAGTGGTAGAGCGTAGGCACAGGCATCGAAGGGTCTTGGGTTCGATTCCTGATTGAGAGCATGCATCTGGGTTGCAAGTTCAATCCCCGGCCCTGGTCAGGGCCCATGCTGGAGGCAGCCAGTCGATGTGTCTCTCTCACATCGATGTTTCTCTCTCTCTCTCTGACACCCTCCCTTCCACTCTCCCTAAAATAAATTTTAAAAAATAAGACCAACCAGATGGTGATGGTCCCTGACTCTCTGAGCCCCACAGCTGGAAGGGGCCCCAGCCTGAAGAACCCGTGCAAAGAACGCAACAGGTGCATGTCCACAAAGTTCAACGTTGAAAAGGATTCATGTTTTGTTTTAAAATGAGCATTAAATCGCAAACAGTTTCCCACCACAGATACGAAAGCAGAGAGAACTAAGAATCTGGACTGCGTGAAAAAGGCTTGGTCGTGAAGGTGACCTTGAAAAGACATGAAACACAGAGCACAGCAGTTCATTGGCGGGGCACTGAGCCAGGGACTTCCATTTTTAAACTTCTGCACAGCTATTTGGGGTAGAGATTGTCATCCCATTCCACAGGGTAATGTTAGTTGACCAAGGCTCCTAAGCTTGCCTGAGGCCCCACAGCCAGAAAGGGACACGCTTGGGATTCGAACCCGGAACTTCTCACTCAGCTTCCCTGAAACGTGGGCTCCTGCCTTGGATCAGAGGCCCTGCCACGCTCTTGGTGAACTCCAAAGCTGGTAAAGCACGAACTTTAAAAGGAAACCGCGAGGCCTCAGCGTGGCGGGTGTTTATTTTTGTTCGTGTGTAAGTCGGCTCTAGCGGTTTGCAGTCCGAGGCTGTTGGGCGGTTCTGCTCCTTGAAGTCCTCAGAGCTCTCGCTCCCGCCCTTGCGTTGTCCTGCAATGGGATTTTGTCCCATGGCCTCCAATAGTGACATCCGTGACCCGGACAGCAGGAGAGACGGGAGAAAAGGAAGGACTGGACAGCACACAGCTTCCCTTAGGGACGCTTCCTGGAAGCTGAGTTGACGCCCCAGCTCTAACATGCACCCCAGCTGGACCCGCGGCCACGCGTAGCTGCCGGGGCATCTGACGTGTGAGACGTGCGACTCCAGGCAGCATGCGCCCAGCCGGCCTCGGGGGCCTGGTGCTGAGAAGAAAGGGGAGCGGGTGGGGGCTCGGCTGTGGGCCGCGGAGCGCTCGCGGCGGGCACCTGGAACTCACGGCCTTTTGCTTTCACCACCTATTTGAGTAGATCAAGCTGGGGGCGTCTGGAGTTGGGGGGCCGGAACCCTCCCGCACCTCTCTCCCACCCCTCCCTCAGAAGCCTTGTGAAGAGAGGAAACGAAAGTTGGTTCTGCTTGGGGCATTTCCCCCAGTGTGACCGTCCCATAGCTCCCTGGCCCTGACCGGGTAGCAAATGGGCGTGGAGGAGGCACCGGCCCTGCGCCCCGGGGGCTCAGGTTCACGGAGTGTTGACGGTCCGAGAGTCTCTCTCTTCATGGCCCATCTTCCAGTGGGAGGGACTCGGAGCTTCCACCTCCGTAGTTTCCAAACTACAGTGTGACTATCACGTAGGAACGTGGGTAGAAAGCAGTTTATACCGGGGATCCGCTTCTTCTCATTTCCCTTTTTTTTAAGCACCCAAGATGAAAATGGTCGGGGGCCTTAACTGGACGGGCACTGACCATGCGCCTCTCACGCCTCTGTGGGCATGAGAGGGGGCGTCCAGGTTGACGGCCGAAGCCTGGGCCCCGTGCTTCCTGCCCGTCGGGAAAGCCCTGAGCTCCACAGGACACGCATTCATCTTCGTGTCCCTCTTAACAATCCCGCTCAAGGGGACGCTGTCGTTTGTAGAGAGGCGCTTCCTGGAGGGGCACGCGGGGGCCGCTGGTGTCGCGGTGATGGATGGCCCTGCTCAGCCACAGCCTGAGCGTAACTTCTCCAGGAGGGCGACGTGAAAGCAGCTCCATTCATCTTGCTGGGAAACGGCTCTCTGGGAAGCCAGCCTGTCCTTCATTTCCGGGGAGACTCGGAGACTTGGGGGCGTTTGGGGGTGCCCATTCGGTGGGACCTGGGGTCGGGCAGGAGGAAGGGTCAAGCTCCAGTTGACACGGCAAGAGGGGGAGGCAGGTTGGGCCTGAAGCTTTGCGGCTGGTTCCCAGCTCGGGGGTGTTCCCGCCGCACCCCTCCCTACAATTCCCAGCCGACTGTTCATTTGTCCTGCGCTTAACGACGCATAGGAGCCATCAAGAGCCGGAGACCTCGCCCTGCCTTGGGAGGCAGGCCCCCGGGCCGGGAATGACGTATTTATTGGCTCTCTCGGTCCCTGCTACCGAGAAACTGAAAGGCCTGCACGAATCGGCGGGGCTCGCGTCTATCATGCAGAATCTACAACGCTAGTCGCCTTAATAAAAGAAAGGCTTCTTTCTGGCCCACGTCACAGTCCAATGTGGATTAAAGGAGGTCGTTTTCCAAACACTCTCCTTTAGCCCAGTGGCTTCCGTTAGCACTAAGGGCTTTGGGGTCCTCTGTCTCTGGCCAGCCCCTGAGGCCAGAGCGAGAGCGTGGAGTGTCCAGAGGGCCAGCCTGTCTCGATTCAGGGGACAGTACAAACTGCCACTCTGAAGGGCCTGAGAAACCTGTGGGTTTCTTTTCCAGGGACCTCAGTGGGGGCGTGATCCTGCTGGGACAGGTGTCATTAGCGCCCCAGGGTGGTGATAGCTGCTAGTCCTACCACCAGGGGGCGCTGCACCTCCCGTCTCATCAACTCCAGGAGACTCGCTTTGGCTCATTAACACTCCCCCGCGCAGGGTCCTCAAAAACCAGAGAGCTGCGTTTCCACTGAGCCCAACTTTCCCCAATTTACACATTCCGCCCCCCCAGAGACTGGGGAGTGGTGACACAGGCACAGCTCTGAGTTTCATCCTTTGGTTTGGCAGGAGAATTCAAGGTAAAAGGACAGAGTTTTTTAAAAATGATGAAGCCAGACCCAGATGTAGAAGTACGTCATACCCCAGTCCCTTACAGCCCCTGGACGCAGGCCAGACATTTGCCCTGAGGTTTTTAGCAGCCAAGGAGGAGGGGAAATAGAATCTCTCACAGGGCTGGTGTTTTCCATTAAATCAAAGCAAACCAGTTGCTAAGAAGCGCAGCTTCTGGTCCTGACACCTGCTAGAAACTTCTCACACGTGCGCTAATAAAAAGACTGTGATAAGAACATTTTCCGCATATAATGTTCCTAAAGCAGACTAACAGCTTGAAGCTGGAGTGTGATTTAGGAAAATGAAGTCTATGAGGAAGCAAAAAAAAAAAAAGCCTGCAGGCCCTGTGAGCACTGGGTGGTTTTGCACAGACTGAGGGTAAAATGTAAACCACAGGACACTGCGTGCACCGGGCGACCTTCAGGCACCTTTCATAAAACAAGTCCAAGTGAGGGAGTGGCCTGTCGAGAAGCTTCCACTGAACAATATTCATTCAGCAAACGCCTATCAGGAACCCACCTGGTCAGTATTGAGCCTTGTGCCTGGGGCTGGAGACGCATACATATGACCAGGCCCTCAAAGCATTCGGGTGCAGTCTGTCTAAGGGGACCGACATGTGGACAGATAACTGCAAATGCATCGCGTTGTGCCTTCAGGGGAGGGGGGAAGGGGAGACAGCCCCTCAGTGGGCTGAGATGCTACTTCAGGGGCCCTCGATGGGGGAGGGTCCGCCTCCTTCCCTGAGGATGGGAACCTGCTGTGGATGGAAAGGGGGAGGCCCCTTTGTTTGGGTCTGATTTCCTTTCCTCCTTTCCCATCGCCCCTGTTTTGCAAGAGCAGCACAAAGAGTGAGGACAGTAGGCGCTTCATTGTGAGCAATTACAGTCGAGGAAGATTCATTGGAATGAGCACTGGGTTTGTGGGGGAACCAGGGGTTTCACGCTAACGTCGCCGCTCTGTTCTTGCAGGCCCGCCGCTGACTGCTAACGAGCCTCCCCTGGACTGCGTAAGTCGGCTTCCCTTGCCTCCTCTCTGCCTTTGATATTCACAAAGTAACTGGCTTTCTTCAAGGTGCTGGGTGGATTAAAAACAAAGGAAAGAAATTTCAAAATGTCTCATTTCCAGTCAGGGAAAATTGTATTTCCATTCTTGGGTATAAAACTGTATGCCGACTTCTCAGCTATAAAAGGGAGATAAAATTAATTCATGGGGCCGCTGTGAAGACGGACAGGTAAAAATACCAACACCCGGTGCTGGCAAGTGTGCGATGAGAAAAACACTGCCTTGCCCATGGAACGAACTTTCTGGAAAGCAATTTCTTAATATTCACCAAGCAATGGAAGAATGTCCATTTCCTTTGGCCCAGTAGTTCCGTGGTCGGGAATTTAAACCAAGAATCTAAGCTCGAATTCGGATTAATATTTAAACACACTCATTTATATTTCATAATGATATATCTTAAATGGTAGCACAGTGGAATCGTGCTAAATATGCAATAATATAACAGTAGTTAAATATATTATATTCACAGGATGAAGCCATTAATAATATTTGCAAAGAATGGTAATGACTAAAGAAAATTTATAACAGAACTCAGATAGCTAATATTTATAAGTGATTTTATTGTAGAATTATATATGTGTATTATTTAAATAGTTTTAACTAGCATATCTGTAGATGATGTATGGAATAGATTGGATGGATGGATGGATGGATAGATAGAAACATAGGCAGATAGACAGACAGAATCTACCTGTAAAATCATCGCTTCTTTCCTGTTCGAAAGACTTCTTTAAAAATCTAATTCAGATGGAACGTCACACCAGGACACACACACATAAAACCAATCAATCAATCATTCAATCACAAACTATTAATTTTGAGTTTTATGGATAAAGAATCCTGGATTTTTAGTGAAAAACCCCTGAGATGGACAGTAGATAATAAATAGGTTAATAGATAAATAGATGTAAATTTTATAATTAAAACAAAACTCTGTCTCTTTCCCTTCCTGGAAAGAAATAAACCAAAATATTTCTATGCAGTCCTGTGGGCAAGACTCGAGGGGTCTGGTGCAGATTCTCCTTAGAC